CATTCTTTCCGGGGTGCTACTGCCACCCACACATGGAGGGTCGCATAGTCGTGCCTGCACCCTACGCACGGTGTGCATGTGCAGTGCACACAGTGTGCCTGGGTAAAAACCAGCCCAATTCTGCCTGAATTCTCCCGATTTGACCCTAAGTCTGTTTGCACCAGACCCCTAGGACTTATAACTTCAATTTATGGATAAAACACAAGTATTTAAGAGGTAATACCTGCAACAGAATCCGGGTTTGCATGAGCATCCGCCTCCGTCATCACATAGACTCTAGCTTGAGTCATTTCTTGGTTCACGGATGGCATGTTGCTCGCGCTTGCTCCCCCTTATTCCCTGGATGCTTGAGAAGCTCCGGCTTGGTTCTTGTTTCTAGTAGTTACACCACTCGGTCCCGATGTCCTTTCCCTACTCAGTTGCGGGCAATTCATCTTCATGTGACCGACTTCCCCACATTGGAAGCATCTAGGAGGATAACGACATTTTCCAAGGTGGTTCCACTTGCAATTGCTGCATCGAGTTGTCCCCGAGGCCTGTGATCTCGATCCTTGCCCACTCAGACCATAATTCCTGCTAGATGGTGGTGGTGGTGCTCGGAAGGATCCCCCTCCCCCGTGGTTCCCCTTTTTGTTAGAACCTTGAGGGCCATGACTTTCCCACTTTCTTTTCTTTGCCTCTTCGGCATTTTTCATCTTTCTCTCTTCCCATTCCTTTTCACCCTTCAGCCCCTGCTCCACCATTTGACTAAACGTCATGTTAGGCAACTGTGTTGCCCTCTCACGCACGTCTAAGTCCAAGGCATCCCAGAAATGGTTAACCGTTTGATTCTCATCGCAAACATACTTCGGTATGAAACCAGCGAGTTCCCTGAATTTATGTTCAAGTTGCCTTACCGTCAATTTACCACCTTGGGTTAGGTTGGTATACTCTCTTCTCTTTGCATTTACTTCAAAATCAGAATAGTATTGAGCAAAGAATTCTTGTCGGAAATTTTCCCAAGTGATGGTCCCGCCATATTTTCCTTTGACTCCATCCCACCACGTGGACGCCATCCCCTCAAGCAATCTCACCGCAACCCTTAGCTTGAACTCGGGGGTGAGTTGCATGTCAAGGGCTGCCTCATTCAACCTCTTGATCCATTCTGTGGCAACAGAGATGTCCCCCGTTCCATTGAACGGTTTGCACCCCAAGTCTCTCGCCTCCTTGAGATATTTTGAGATCCTTATGATTGGACCCCCATCACCTCAGCCTCCATGTGGTTCGATGTGGGCCCTAGAGTCGCCATGGCTTCTTGCTCTTGAAGCCACACCCGAAGGTTTCCCTGTTCGGTGCCTTCGGCGTTCACTCCTTTCTTCACGCTCCCGCTGGTATAGTTGAAGCAACGCGGCAATTCTTGCTAAGGAGTCATTTCCCCCTCCTCATCACTCACCTCATCGTCATCCCCTTCATAAGGGGTCTCAACCGGCTCGGTTTCCGCTTGATAGGTCGAGTCCTCATATAGGACCAGTAGGTTTCACTCTCGGTATCAACATGACTGTCGCTTACGGTCTGTGATTGACCTCCACGGCTCGCCCCTCTAGATACTCTAGAGGCCCCACGGCTGCCCTGCGCGGTCACCACCGGTGCACGGCCTGTCGGGTTTCTTCTGGTTACTATGCCACCACGGTCCATTTCGGAAAGAAATTTTGGAAAGATTCGTTAGACTCGTATCAAATGTCAATTGAGAGATAGGTACTTAAGACACTACTTGGCTCAAATTGCCGCCACACCAATTGCTAAGGGTACCATCTTAACAATTAGAAACATTGCAACTCAAGTACCAAGAGTTCTGTAAGTACAAAACATTTATGCTCATGGTTTTCAAATTCTTTTTGAAAAGAGAATTTTGAGACTTCATTATGAAGTTTATAGACTAAGCCTGTGATGCCAATTAAATTGTCACGCCCCGAACCTACCCGGACACGTCAACAACCCGCCATAAAATACGAATAGTCAACCACAATAAAAAACATCCATGTTATACAAGACGTCTCGAATATCATTCACACATAAGTCATCCATAAACAAACATAATAAACAATTCAATACGCAGCGGAAAACATAGTTTAAAACAAATGCCACACGGGGTGAATCATGAGCACGCAGGCTCTATAGTAAAATATCCATGAGCAAGTTTAATTTATTATTGTTCAAAATAGAATGGAGGAAGCATGAACCAAGTCTTCTCTCCGGAGAAATCACTCGAGCAACGAGCACAGGAAGCAAGCTCTAACCTCAACCGGAAATTGTGGTGGGACACCCCAAAGGGAATCATTACTCTATAGGGCTATAAAGTACTGGTGTGAATGACATATACTAGATATACAACAAGTATTTCAAACACAAGACCCTCAAATAGGGTGATAGTACAATATGTGTTGTAACCCCAAGTTACCTCATTTGAAAGTATACTTACTTTATAAGTCAAGTAGTCGGGCCGTGGGCCCATGTTCATTTAGAAATCACCATTCCTATTCCCCATGACTAAAAGTCATGAAAACTCATAGGGTCCAACCCTAATATATTTCATTGCATTCAAGAGCTCGGCTCTATTATATCGATCACCATGCAATTCATATCCTTTGGGTCAAATACCTCACCTTGCATTCTAGAGCTCGGCTCTATTACATCACCATGCAAGCCCTAGAGCTCGGATCTAGCTATACAAATCACAGACGGCAAGTCTATCACCTTGCTATGCATTCTAGAGATCGGTTCTATTGCATCACCATGCACCAAAGTCCAATTCCTAAGCAAAATTATGCCTAGAATTGACATATCAATAAACTACTTTAGGGCATCCTTAAGGACTGCCCATAACATGATCTTAGCTCCTTTCTAAATCAATTTGGGTACTTGAATCACATTCAAGTGCATCACTTAAAATCAACCCTTAGAATCAATTCATTAACAATCATAAATAATCATTAACTAGTACTTCCTCCGTCTCTTTTTAGTTGCAACAGTCAACCTTTCACGTTTGCCAACGCACAACTTTGACCGTCATTATATTTAATTCTGTATTAGTGAAAATAAAATAAAAATTAGATTATAAAACTTAGTAATGAGACGAATTTAACAACATTTTTCAAAAAATATAATTCACATACATTAATAAATAAAATGTAGTCAAAGTAAAGTACATGAATAGTATATATATTCCAATGTTGCAATTAATGAGATACGGAGGATAGTATTTCAATACTATTAAGATTATTCCTATCAAATCAAATATTCCAATTTGTAAATCCCTACATATTTAGAAGTATGTGGCAGAAACTTAAGCATCCAATCTTAATACATAAATAAATATTCATTTATGTATCTACAGAATTCATACATGAGTACAAATGCCCATTTCACATAATATTTCATTAATAGCCCATTTAATTCCATTTTATCAATATGGCCTCAAATCATTTCAAATTTTAATCCTTATCAAATATATCAACATTTTATCAATATTTAAGCATCATAACTCATGAAAACACGATTTGAACATTTAGGTAATCTCATGCTTAACCTACAAGTTGTAAGCAACTAGATGTCGATCCTCACCTCAAATGAGCTTTAAACTTTTCCTTCTCAATCCAATGCTCAAAGCTTAGGCCAAGGAAGTTTGAGAAATGATTCCTTGCTTAGAAATGAGTGTTAGACAGCCACCTCAAGGTACTAGCTCAACTCCTAACCGACGATACGAAAACATCCCCTAGAATGGGTGTTTTCCGGTAAATTCTTTTTCCTTCAAGGTTTGTTCTAGGTTAGTATCTAACATTTACTTCAATAAAGTAACCTTATAAAGAACATATTATACAATTGAAATAGTTTATAATAGTCCCACCGATTGTTCATATCATTTTTAGATAATGAAAAGGAAGGTTTTGGATTTAAACTCACTTTAAAGAGGCAAATCTGTTTCTGCGAGTTTGTGTTTTCTTTCGACGATTTGGAAGCCTTCCACTACTCCATTTGCTTCAAAGTTCACCTTCATGTATTCCTTATCTTGAGATATTTCTGTAGACACCTCACAAGACTTATTTGGACGAGTGTAGGTCGAGATATGAATCAAACAAGAAACTCTACGCACTGAGAAATAACCCATGCGGGCAGTTTGCTCTTTCCTTGCTCTCTTGAGTTGTGTGGCTCTCTCATCTCCTATGATCTTTGGGGGTTCGAATGAGAGGTTTTGGGAGTATTATATTGCATCTCTATTAGCCTCAAAAGTCAATGAGAGATCGTGGGTTGGCATGTCGGATGATGGAGCAAAAATATCTTTCAATCAAATGGGGAGAGGGTCCTTTTGATGTTCAAATAATGTCTTGTTCAGTGCCCCTCCCTTTTGTCCGCCCCAAATAAGTGTTCTAACATATTCTCTTTATTTTTCAGGTGCTAAGAAGGCGTGGGGTGGTCTCCAAGTGATCCCAATTATTTTGGGGTTCAAAATATCTACCAATACTTCCAAAAATGGAAAGATGGGTCATATTGCTTTATCTTTTGTCATGAAATGCCTTTTTGTACTCATTCTAATTTATTTAGACCAAGTCAACTATCTACATCATATTATTTGTCTCTAATATGTGTAGGATATGATGTATAATTATAGAAGAAAATCTTACTCCCATTACTCAGTTCAATAGTGCCTAAGGTGGGACCATAAGAGTTTGCATTCTTCTCTAATCAACACATTGCTTATTTGTGACTTTTGCATTTATATTCTTGGGCTACAAGCCGTGTAGGCTACCCTGGAGTGGGCCTAGGACGCCATTCTTGATTACTTACTTTTTTTAGCAGATTGGGCCCAAAATAACATTTGGGTTGCTCGGCCTTTTTTATTTTGTATCGAAGGGTTATGTATCCTTATTTACATGGTAGTCTTGGGCTCTTATATCTAATAAGATATCCCAATTAAGTATTTGAAATCCATCACTATTATACGAGTTCAAACGATAGTATGATCAATCATGCATTACGTAAAACATTAATCGTTTTACAATTGTTCGATAATAGGGAAATCAATACACAAACTTTGAAAATTAAATTGAATTTCAAGGACGTTCGGGAGCGGTGTCACAAAGAATTTCTTCCCGTTCCAACAAGATTTTCAGGAAATCACATTTACAACCCTTGACTACCCCACAAGTACTAGTGATAAATGGATTGTATTGATTCAATTCTTTCCAAAGAGAGACAAGTTTATTGTAGTAATCAGTAACATTCAGATTACCTTGAATAGTTGCATAAATCTGCTTCTGCGGATAAAAAATTCTCAGTAGATTGCCCTGGAAGAAGCGTTCGTTCAAAGTTGACCACATTAGTGCCACTGTTTCTTCATACAATATACACTGTGGGACTTCTTTCGTAGAGGAATTGAGGATCCATAACTGCACCATGAGATCACATCTCTCCCAAAATTTCATAATCCTCATCATCGATGATTGGTTTAGGTATTGTACCATTTACAATCTTCATCTTATTCTTTGCTCCAAGTGCGATTTTCATGGATTTGCTCCTTGAATGAAAATTGTTGCCATTGAGCTGTGGATTAACGAGTGTAGCATTCGGATTATCTCCAGAACCTACATAATATGGACTAGATACATCTTCCATAGCTGGACGTCTTGATTACGATCCCATATTCTGAGGCATGACGAAGAAGATATGAAAAGATCGTTGAATTGCAACAGTTTACTTAATTAGAGCTTAAGCTTTGATACCATGAAGAAATAAAGCTCAAGTATACGTACAATAATTGAAGATGATTTACGTAAAGAGTAATCGAAAGAAATCCATTATACAATGAAGAAGATACAAAGTTGATGGAGTATTAACTCCTAGAGAGAAGGGAAAGTTAGAGAGATAAAGTGATATGTATAATGAATTTCTAACCATTTTACATGGCTTCCATAGGGAGTATTTATAGGAGAAAAGCAAGCTGAGCTTCCAGGCTTGGGCCTGAAAGGCCCAGTTACAATAAAAGGCCAATAAAAGGCTAATAAATGAGGTTTAATTTATTCCAATGGGTACAAATGAATAAATAGAGTGTACAATGAGATAAATGATATCTACTGAGTGTATGTGGGCCGCTGTCCGGGCCCAATAGTCATGAGACCCGGGGGTCCGAGTCTATATACTCTATCAGGAGTCCCCCACTCTTTTAGTCGAGAGTACTCTAGGCGAAAGAGAGTAGAACTGTGTGCTGATATGTCGTCGTCTGGTGAGTAAACTTTTGTCGTCGGTGCGTGTGGCAATCCTTGCAAAAATTTTGAAATTGTGCTTTTTCGATTGTGGAGGCGCTAAGTCCCCCGCTGTCCCAGTCCCCCACTCCTTGAGGTGAATGTAGTGAGGTGAAGAGGAGTAGAGTAATGCACGTCTTGAATAGGGGTCGAGGGTCGATACCTTTTGTCCACGTTGGGGAGATGCCTCGTTAAAAACCTCATTAGGAAAAAACCCAGTGGGAAAAAATCCTAATGAGGGAAAAAGAGTACACCGGATGCCCCCAAAATGAAGCAAAAGGGGTGAGCCCTTCGGCCTTGGTGTGGAGCTACAACGGTGTCCGTCTGCTACAGGGATGGCCGAGACCGGTCTCTAGATGTGAGCAGCTCGGCATGATGACTAGTCCCAGTCATCAAATAAAGATGACTAAGAGATAGGTCGAGTGATCGTCCATAATGTGATGTCCGGGTCCTCAAATAAAGTGACCGAGACATGTGGCCGAGAGGCCTATAAGAAGCCCAAGCCATCAAATAAAGATGACCAGGAGAGACGACCAAGTGGTCGGTATGATGAGCTCCACGTCATCAAATAAAGTTGACGGGGCGATGCAAGGCCGAGGTCCCCGGATGAGAGCTCCACGTCATCAAATAAAGATGACGGGGCGATGTATGGCCGAGAGGCCTGTATGAGAGCTCCACGTCATCAAATAAAGATGACGGGGTGATGTACGGCCGAGAGGCCTATATGAGAGCTTCACGTCATCAAATAAATATGACGGAGCCATATATGGCCGATGGGCCTAAAAATGAGCTTCGCGTCATCAAATAAAGATGGCGGAGCGATAAATGGCCGATGGGCCTGTAAATAAGCTTCGCGCCATCAAATAAAGATGATAGAGCGATATATGGCCGATGGGCCTGCAAATAAGCTTCGCGTCATCAAATAAAGATGACGGAGCGATATATGACCGATGGGCCTGTAAATGAGCTTCGGGTCATCAAATAAAGATGACGGAGCGATATATGGCCGATGGGCCTGTAGATGAGCTCTTCGTCATCAAATAAAGATGACAGAGAGATATATGGCCGATGGGCCTGTAGATGAGCTCTTCATCATCAAATAAAGATGACCGAGCAATATATGGCCGATTAGCCTATAGATGAGCTCTTCGTCATCAAATAAAGATGATAGAGCGATATATGGCCGATGGGCCTGTAGATGAGCTCTTCGTCATCAAATAAAGATGACCGAGTGATATATGGCCGAACTCTTGGCTTCTTTAGCCTTTCAGCCGGAGACCGCAAGATGTTCGCTATATCTGAATAGGGGGACGAGGCGGTGGACACCTGTCTGAATATGAGGACGACGACGCTGTTGAGTCGGTCCGAATATGAGGACGACAACGCTGACGAGCCGGTCCGAATATGAGGACGATGGCGCTGGTGAGCCGGTCCAAATATGAGGACGAGGCGATGATAAGCGGTGCGTCATATGAAGGCGACGGTCATCATCCAGGAAGGGAATGACGAGCCTGGTCACTAGATAAGGACTTCGGCGCTGGGGCCGGTCTAAATGTGAGGACGAGGCGATGATAAGCTGTGCGTCCTATAGGGGCGACAGTCATCGTCCGGGAAGGGATGGCGAGCCCTATCACTATAACAAGACTTCAACGATGGGAGCCGGTTTTGAGATAAATAATCACATCGAGGCCGAGAGGCTGATCGCGATGTGCGGACAGCAATGATGAGGAGCCAGTCCGAAATATGATGACAAGGCGATGATGAAGCCGATCGTCATATAGAGGCGATAGTCGCCATCCAGGAGGGGATGGCGAGCCTGATCGCTAGCCCAACACACTCGACGCTGATGAAGCCGGTGTTGGGATAGGGCGTCACGTCGTGGCCGAGGGGCCGGTCGTGATGTGAGGTCGTCAGCACTATGAGGCTGATCCAAAAGTCCAAGCAACGGTTGCCATTCGATGAAGGAATGACTGAGACCGGTCTTGGGGATAGATAATCATGTCGAGGCCGAGGGGCCGGTCGTGATGTGCGGACGACGATGATGAGCCGATCCGATAATATGATGACGAGGCAAGAATGAAGCCGATCGTCATATATGGGCGATGGTCACCATCCAGGAGGGATGACGAGCCCGATCACTAGCTCAAGACTCTCGGTGCTGAGGAAGCCGGTCTTGAGATATATAATCACGCGAAGGCCGAGCGGGCAGGTCGTGATACGAGGACGACGGCGATGAGGAGCCAATCCAATAGATGATGAAGAGGCGATGATGAGACGACCATCATATGGGGGCGATGGTCACCATCCAGGAAGGGATGGCGAGCCCGATCGCTAGCTCAAGACTCTCGGCTCTGAGGAAGCCGATCTTGAGATAGATAATCACGCTGAGGCCGAGGGGCCGGTCGTGATGTGAGGACGACAGCGATGAGGAGCCGGTCCTGTAATATGATGACGGGGCGATGATGAGCCGGCCATCATATACAGGCGATGGTCACCATCCAGGAAGGGATGGCGAGCCCGATAGCTGGCTCAGGACTCTCGGCGCTGAGGAAGCCGGTCTTGAGATAAATAATCTCGTCGAGGCCGATAGGCCGGTCGTGATGTTCGGATGGCGATGAGAAGGAGCCAATCCGAAATATGATGACAGGGCGATGATGAGCCGGTCGTCATATAGAGGCGATGCTCACCATCCGGGAAGGGATGGCGAGCCCGATCGCTGGCTCAAGATTCTCGGCGCTGAGGAAGCCGGTCTTGAGATAGATAATCACGCCGAGGCCGAGGGGCCGGTCATGATATCCGAATGGCAATGCTGAGAAGTCGATCTGATAATATGATGACGGGGTGATGATGAGCCGACCGTCATATAGAGGCGATGGTGACCATCCAGGAAGGGATGGTGAGCCCGATCGCTGGCTCAAGACTCTCGGCGCTGAGGAAGCCGGTCTTGAGATAGGTCATCATGCCGAGGACGAGGGGCCGATCATGATGTACGGACGTCAACACTGGGAGGCCGATCCGAATGTCCATGCAGCGGTCCTTATCCATAAAGTGAGAGGATGAGGCCGGTCTTCAGAGTATGATGATCACGCTGAGACCGAGGGGTCTGCCGTGTTGATATAAAAGATCGCGTTGAGACCGAGGGGTCTTCCGCGATGTGAGGATGACAGTGGTGATGAGCCGTTCCAATAAATGATGACGAGATGATGATGGAAGCTGATCGTCATATAAAGGCGGCGGTCGCTTATCCGGGAGGGGAATAGCGAGCCCAATCGCTAGCTCAAGACTCTCGGCGCTGAGGAAGCCGGTCTTGAGATAGATAATCACGCCGAGGCCGAGGGGTCGATCGTGATGTCCGGATGGCGATGCTGAGAAGCCAGTCCAATAATATCATGACGGGGCGATGATGAGCCAGCCGTCATATAGAGGGAATGGTCACCATCCAGGAAAGGATGGCGAGCCCAATCACTAGCTCAAGACTCTCAGCGCTGAGGAAGCCAGTCTTGAGATAGATATTCACGCCGAAGCCGAGGGGCCGGTCATGATGCGCGAATGGCGATGCTGAGAAGTCGATCCGATAATATGATGACGGGGCAATGATGAGCCAGGCGTCATATATAGGCGATGGTCACCATCCAGGAAGGGATGGCGAGCTCAATCGCTAGCTCAAGACTCTCGGCGCTGAGGAAGCCGATCTTGAGATAGATAGACACGCCGAGGCCGAGGGGCCCGTCGTGATGCACGGATGGCGATGCTGAGAAGCCGATCCGATAATATGATGACGGGGCAATGATGAGCCAGCCGTCATAGAGAGGCGATGGTCATCATCCAGGAAGGGATGGCGAGCCCAATCGCTAGCTCAAGACTCTCGACGCTGAGGAAGCCGATCTTGAGATAGATAGACACGCCGAGGCCGAGGGGCCCGTCGTGATGCACGGATGGCGATGCTGAGAAGCCGATCCGATAATATGATGACGGGGCAATGATGAGCCAGCCGTCATAGAGAGGCGATGGTCATCATCCAGGAAGGGATGGCGAGCCCAATCGCTAGCTCAAGACTCTCAGCGCTGAGGAAGCCGATCTTGAGATAGATAATCACGTCGAGGCCGAGGGCCCGGTCGTGATATGAGGAAGGTCAAGGCGTTGACGCCGGACTGAACATGAAGGACGGTGGAGCCGGTCCGAAGATGAGGGACGGCGTTGGGCGCTCGTCTGAAGATTATGGACGATGCTGGGCGCTCGTCTGAAGATGAGGGACGGCGTTGGGCGCTTGCATGAGATGAGGGACGGCACTGGGCGCTCGTCTGAGATGAGGGACGACACTGGGCGCTCATCTGATATGATGGACGGCGCTGGGCGCTCGTCTGAGATGAGGGATGGCGCTGGGCGCTCGTCTGAGATGATGGACGGTGCTTTGCGCTCGTCTGAGATAATGGACAGCGTTGGGCGCTCGTATGAGATGATGGACGGTGCTGGGCGCTCGTCTGAGATGATGGACGGCGCTGGGCCCTCGTCTGAGACGAGGAACGGCGCTGGGCACTCGTCTGAGATGAGGGACGGCGCTGGGCGCTCGTCTGATATGTATAGTATTTGTCTGATATGTACTTAGTCAAACTTTGGGGATTTTATTTTTATTGCTCGAGGCCTGC